AAAAAAAAAAAAAAAAGCTCACAAAGAAACAATTGTGTGTTTAAGTCCTGAGAGGCGGAATTTTAAGGTATCTTGTATAATACTAACAATATTCTTCCCACGTGAAAGAACTGATTAACCTACTGCTCTTTGACTGGCAGAGCTTTCAGAAAATATTTATAAGACGGTCAAACCTGTTATGCTCTGCACTTGCGAATTCCACATGACCTTCACAACACAGTCGCACTGGACACCTGGATGGACAGCAGTGTTCCAAAGGTGGCACGTCGTGCGTACCCAGTTCCACTGAAAATGGCTCCATTAAACCACACGCGCCTTGGATGCCGCTAAAGGGCGCAGCTCCACACAGGCACTTACCCTGGTGCCTCCCGAATCCTCACTAGGAGCAATGGAAGGATTTATTTTTTCGACACGTGACTCTACAAGGACAAGGCAAATGGGAGAAGAAATACCAGGAGCAAAAGAGAAGCTGAGAAGTGGGAGGACAGTGGTCACTGCCCCAGGAAGCGAGACCGAGCACGGACCCCGCACGCCCCACACGACCTGTGAGAGGCTCGGGGACAGGCAGCAGCGAGTGTCCCTACACGGAAAAGATCGAAAACCAGAGGTTCACCACTGCACATTTGAGAAGAAGTTGGAAGTTCCGTTTTTGGTAACGTGTCCAGCCAGCGTGCCAGCCATCACACTGAAAACAACCAAAGAATGATGGACAAGACTGTACCTTAATTTTCCTAAAATCCTTGAAGAAATGACAGAATAACAGGAAATTATCAGGTTAAAATCCAAGTAAAGGCAAGAATATAAATACATTAAATAACCAAGCTAAAGGGAAGTATATCATCAAATTGGATTAAAAAACCAGTAACAATAAAAATTCTAAATCTCTACGATTTAAAGGAAACAAGTAAAACGCAAGCTTACCAGCGTTGCATTTTGGAGTCAGAAGTAGATGCCCTGTGGAGGAACTGTAACTGGGAAGCTGGTGGAGTTGTCTAGAAACAAAGTACTTGAGGCAAAGAGCAGTGGCCGCGGCAGAGAGGGCCACGCCGTAATTCAGCGTCCACTGCGCCGGGAAGACACCACAGCCCTGAACCCACAGC